GTCTTCCTAATTGTTAGCATTTAAGAGGCAATTTTCACCTTTCCACCCATTATTGTCCGTTTAGATGTCATGTAAGATTAAACTGTTTAATGTTTGCAGGAAAGAAAAAGAATCAGACCCTTCCTGTTTTAAATTTGATGTCAGTTCCTTGTCAATTTAAACCTGAAAATCTTCTCTTGAAATGCTTAACCAAAACCCTTTCTCCATGCAGGGATTATATGGAGAGATGTACTTCTGATGGATGATGTGTTACATGAGGCTGCTCTCTCCGACTATTCTCTGGAGGTCTCCCTTAAATAAATTTCAAATTTTTTTTTTTATAATACTGTTTGCAGCATTTCTTCCGAACTCTCAAGAACTGAAAGTAGATTCTTAGTTTTTTGGGTTGAAGAATGGTTCTAAGCGTAGAAGGTAATCTATGTCGTTGCAGCCTGCTCGGGTTGCTGTGAAACTGTATGTTAGCAACAAATTCTCTCATCTGCTAAGCAGTATTTCAGGTTATTCATTTCTTGCAGTTCAAAGTTATTTGTCTTCATAAATTCTTTCTACTCTTAAGCCCTAATCTCAACTTGTTGGGGTCAGAGACATGGATACTTTTTGGCCAACATTTGGCCCTATTTAAGGCCATATTTTCTGTTAAATCCGTATTGTTCCTGCTCCTTTTCAGATTTTTGACTCATATCATTTTAGACTTGCTAGTCAAATCAACTGAAAATGGAAAAAATGAAAAGATTTGAAATTAAATTGATAAAGCAGTTGACCCATTGTAAACAACAAGAGTATAATGTTCAATGGACGAATCTTGTAGAGGAGAATAACTTGATAGGCTTGGAATGGTGTACGTTAACCTGGTCACAGATTTGGAAATATTGTCATTTGACCTTTAACAACTGAGGATCACACACACACCCACACTCTCTCTCTCTCTTGCGAGTTTTATTTTTTTGTTCTGGTGACACAATTTGAGCTGAATTTGTTTGAACTGGCAGATGCCCTCACAAAAGCCCACACTAGACAGAAGGATAAAGGAGAAGAGTATTCCTTGCAAGTTGCTCTGGAGGGTGGCAAAAAGGCAGTGCTCCAAGGCAGCATGGATGTGTTACTGGTACTGTATGAGATACCATGTAGTCTATGTTACTGCACTTAAACTATGCTTGCATTGCATAAATCTACAGCTTCATCTCTCTCATGTCTTAATATACCGATAATTGATGGAACTGTTCCCTCCATATATACTCATAAAGTTGGAGCCCATGTTTGTTTGAATGGTGGCTATGTGCTTGTGTGTTTTACACATGCTTCCTGGAACTTATATTTGGATATATGCGGGGTTGACTACATAAATGCAGCTGATACATTTTTTTTTTTTCCGTTTTCGGAATATGGGTCTAAACAATTTGGCCATTTTTTGTTTTAAGTCTTCCTACAGTATCCAAGAAAAAACTCTACATACATTGTTGATTTCAAACTTCTCTTTTCTTTAATTTTTTTCCCCCTATTGCTGTTGGCATATTAACCCCTTTACAAGTGCATGATTTCTTACTCATCAAAAGAGGGACAAATTGATGCTCATCTCTTCATTCTATCATTTGTTTCAGGACTTCCGCCAACTTCTAGATGATAATTTGGGCCTACTAGTTAAACTGAAAGACTTGATTATTGATTGGGTCCAAGAAGGATTTCAAGACTTCTTCAGGGCACTTGATGGCCACTTTCTCTTGCTTTCTGGCAAGAATAGTTCGGCCACTCAAGATCAGGGTTTGACAGAGGGAATACAAGATGACAAAGTTCTGGCTGGGCTTGTCCTTGTGCTGGCCCAGGTTTCTATTTTCATTGAACAAAATGCTATCCCGAGAATCACTGAGGCAAGCAGCCAACTATAAGAATTATGTTTCATGCTAAAAAAAGTGTCAATACTGTAGTTATATTTTCCTCCATATCCTCAGGGCTTGCATTGAAGTTTCATCTTCTAATTGTCAGGAAATAGCTACTTCCTTTTCTGGTGGTGGTGCCAGGGGCTATGAATATGGACCTGCTTTTGTTCCTGGAGAAATTTGTCGGATTTTCCACTCAGCTGGTGAAAAGTTTCTGCACATTGTATGAATTAAAAAATTTCTGAATTCTGAATTTTAGGTTATTCAAATGCATTTTATTCCATGGGCTACTATGATTAAACCACTTTTATCCGTTACTTATACATTCATTTGTTAACAAGTAATGTTTTGATCTTCTCTTTTCAGTATATAAATATGAGAACCCAGCGGATATCAGTTCTATTAAAGAAGAGGTTTACCACCCCAAATTGGGTCAAGGTAAGCTTGTTGTAGGGCAATATTTCAATAATAGGAAGTAGTTAGCATGTGGACTACACCATTAATGGCATGTTTACTTATCAGTAATGGGTATCAGAATGATTCCAATTCCTTCTTCGAATCTGTGGGTATTGGAATGATTCCAATTCCTTCCCCTGCATTTACTTACACATACGGGATAAAGAATTGTGCATGGTAAAATCCGTAATCAAATACCCTAAACACGGAATCAGATCAACTTAGGGGGAGTAGTTGATCCGTTTCCAATTCCTTATTCCCAAATTTTTAAGTTCCCCAAAATAAATTTACCTACCAATGTAAATACTTTTGATTTTTACTTTTTTGCAGCACAAGGAACCCCGGGAAGTTCATATGTTTGTTGATTTATTTCTTCAAGAGGTAAGTACTTTTTTTTTATGCTCCCCCATATATTGTTATCTCTTGGAATAACAGTAAAGTTGAGGGGAAAATTGTTTGGTGCTTGGTTTCTTAAATCTATTTAATGTTGTCAGATTGCATAAACTTTCCTGTCTTTCTTGTGTTAGTTGGAAGTAATTCGAAGTGAAGTTAAGCAGATTTTACCTGAAGGGATTCGTAGACACCGACGGGCTGATAGCAATGGAAGCACTGCCTCATCACGGAGCAATCCATTACGAGAGGAGAAATTGAGTCGGTCAAACACCCAAAGGGCCAGGAGCCAGCTGTTGGAAACCCATCTAGCAAAACTGTTTAAGCAAAAAGTTGAAATTTTTACGAAAGTTGAGTTTACACAGGTATTGAAGTACTTTTTGCTCAAACAAATATTGGTGCTGGTTTAGGAACAACATGAACTGTGTCTGCTTGCAAATTGCAGGAGTCTGTGGTAACAACCTTGGTAAAACTTTGCCTTAAAAGCTTGCAAGAATTTGTCAGACTCCAAACATTTAATCGAAGTGGATTCCAGCAAATTCAGTTGGATATTCAGTTCTTGAGGACTCCTTTAAAGGAAATGGCAGAAGATGAGGCTGCCGTTGACTTTCTGCTGGATGAGGTATTGAGAAAACCGTCTAAGCTCTGCATCCTGGACTCTAACTTTGTATAGCTGCTCTGCTTGAGTTCATATCTGTATATTGCCTTTTCTTTTGAATTGTTAATGTTGGAAACCTCTAAGTTTGTGTAGCTGCTCCGCTTGTGTTGTATCTGTATATTGCCTTCTCTTTTGAATTGGTAATGTTGGAAACCTCTCTCTCCCTCTCTAAACCTTTTAAGGACTCCTTTCAAGAGGTGAGGGAAAGGGAAGGTGTTCCATTGTTCATGATTCAAAACTTATGTTTTTTTAAGACCTTTCCTATTGAGAGGGGTGATAGTATACTAAACTCACACACATTATACGGATGTTAAGAATTGAACCCAAGACCTTGCCTAGAGGAGCAATTGCTCCAAACCACTACATTAGTGGGTCCTTTGCCAGAACCTATGTTAAGAGTTTTGGAATTTCAGGAAAAAATAATTGGTTTGGGCATCTTTTATTGAGCAGGTAATTGTTGCAGCCGCAGAGCGTTGTCTTGACCCAATTCCTTTAGAGCCTGCCATCTTGGACAAACTTATACAAGCAAAGTTGGCGAAGACCAAGGAACAGAATCCAAACTCTCCGTAGCATCTTAAGGTGCAGAAATTTTGCGACCTTTCATTCTCTCTTACTCTCCTCCCATGCTATATTCTTTAAAACTTGCCTTAGTTTCTAATTTGATTATTTGGTTTTTTCATAGGTTTCACTGTGTAAGACGTATGTATGAAGAAAACAATTTTTCACAGGTTTCACGGAGGCTGAGGCTCTAAGATCCTCTTGATATTGAAGGGCATGTACAATTCGTGTATTTGATCTGGCTTTGAAATATCACTGCATCTGTAAATGCTTCAAGGCTGCAGTAGAACAATTGCCAGAATTCTTTCAAATGCATGCTCATCATACACTCGGCAAATGACATTTTCTTAATCAATTATATTCCCTTGCTTGAAATGACACTTTGCTTTCCTCATGTTTTGTATGTGACAGATAATATATCATTAGTAAATAATATTTCTGTTAATGCCCGAAATAGGAGAGAGTAAACACAAAGGAAAGATACAAGAAGAAAGGACCAAAGGAGAAATGCATCAAACTGGCACCATATTCTAGAACTTCACATTGCACCAAGCACAACATTTTTGCGCTTTTATTTAACGAATGTTGTCTATGAGATTTGAATTCTCCGTCCCTTTTTCTTCCTTGTACAACAAAAATAAATCTCATTATAAAAATACGGGAAGTTTCAATTACAAAGCATTTTATCCTATGAAAATGGCACATCGAGCATGCAGAACGTGAGAGGAATTCAGTAACTTGGGTCAATTTGGGTTTTCAGATCTCTGTCCGTGTCCTCCCCTTCTTGTCTCTCTGTTAGAACCCAACCATTACAGCTCACTTAGCCCCGCTTGCACCAGAGTTTGAATTCCCATTTCCGTAGTTTAGATTATATTAAAATAAAATATCTCTTAATATCAAAAATGAAAAGAAAAAGAGAGTTCTAGAAGCTCCTTTTGGGAAGTCTGTTAGCACTGTTTTGGACTGCTAACAACATTAATATGTGGGCCTCCAGCCATTGTTTTGAAGTGAAATACAGAGATCTAGGCTGGCCCGTTGTATGGTCCAATAAAAAACACATAACCAAAGAATGGCAGAGCGGCAGAGCCCGTCTCTTTCTTTTATCTTTCTTTCCCGATAATTAATAATTCTGAATCAAAACTTGAGATATCAAACAAGCAAAAGCATCGATATTATCGAACCCATAAAACTTTTCTTCAACTCCCAACAGTCTTAACGCTCATTTCCACCCTCTTTGTTGTTGGTGTGCAGCGGGTGCGAAGTTACGGACTGCAAACTGCAAACCATGACTGCTATTATCAATTCGCTGGCTTTGACTACAAATCCTCATGTCCAGCTCTCGTCTGGTAATTCCCGCGTGATCTAATCAAACTGCGTTTGTTGGATTCTCAGCTAAATTTTTTATATATTTTTCTTGATCTTAGTTATTGAATTAATAAGTAATGTTCTTGCTTGCAAGTGTTCTTGCATTTCAATTTGATGGTTACTTAACTTTTTTGGTTTAAATGAAAGATGAAATATGTAAATAGGCTGTCAATGATTTCATTTTGGATGTCTGTATATGATATGGAACCTCTCACACTTACAAACTAGGATTCGCAGATGACTTTTATGTTCTTTTAGAGTTCGTGTTTGAGCCCGAAATAAGAACAGAAAGCAATCTTATATTTCCCAAGTTAGTATTGCCTTGCAACTTGCAAGCCAGGAGAAAATGCCTTGTTTCTATGCAGCTTTCCCGAGCTCCTATTAAATTACTGTGTAATTTTATGTAAATTTAAGGCTATTTTTTCTGCATTTTTTGTTGTTGTTAAAGCTAGGTCATCGAATCTGAAACAAATTGGCAATAGCTGTAGAGACCCAGGAACTTATATTTGTGAGGCTAGGCTTAGGTTAGGTTTCTCTAAGTGAGATTTTACACCCTGGGATTAAACTGAAATAGCTAACCATCTGCAAATGATAGTGGAGTTTATTCCAAAGATCCATAGCTGATGTAAGGGTTATATATATGTATACATTATTTTCCCATTAACTAAGTGGTTAGTATCAGAATTCACTGAACGTTCTTGTGGCATTTTCCATATCAGCAATGAGTTTATTGCTGCACTTAGTTTCTGTTTATGTGCTGGATTTCGAATAATGTTGCTTTTTCTGTTCCTGTGAAATTCTTCACCAGGGTCTCCTCTGAAACCATCACAACAATATCTTGGGAGTGTGGCCCCTATAAACTTGTCACTCAATTCAAAGCATATTGGGAAAGCTCAGCTATCTACCTCCAAGAGGTCCTTCACAGTTCAGGCTGGATATAGGTATTCTGTTTGTCCTTGCATTATAATCCTGATTCTGATGGTGTGTTTTGGGTTCTTGTTTGTGATCTGGACATGCTAGTTGTATAATGCAAAATGCATGGTAGCTGCTGATTTATTTTCTTTGAGTACGAGTTTCTCATTAGAGTTCTGTAGTGTGGGATTTGTATATTTTTCGGACAAAATGTGTATGTCTATTATACATTTGAATATTTTAATTATTGTTTCTCAAACTGTTAAATCAGCAATACATATAAATCTGGGAATTGGTTGAGACTAAATTTTGTTTCCAGTAAGACGATATAAAAAGAAGGGAAATAATTCTTAATATTACCACTGCCTGGTGGCTTGTTGATTCTTCAAGATCTCAGTTTTCCTATTTATGTTTGATATCTTCCCCATATCCATATAATGTCCTGGCTATTTATATAAAACATTGACCTCACACATACTTGGAGTCATGACTGCATTAAGGTAACAATTAGTTATTAATAAAACTTTTCTACTTTCCATGTTTCCTGGGATTCAATATTTGTTTGCAGAAGGAATACGTATACTCGATGTAGCTCAACTAGTTCATCCAACAATATAGAAATCAAGGAATATAGTCAACTCACTTCAATTTCATTTTGCCTAATTGATAGGACACATGCATGTTTCTCATGATGGTAAAACAATTTGAGAAGATATTTTCATGATATTTGTCTCCTAATCCTGAGGTGAAAGAATAAGACATGAGAGAGAATTAGAAGCTCTTCTATTTCGAAATTTATGATAAAGGATATAAAGGTGACAAACTTGAAATAATGATATCAGAGTATTATTATATCTCATTGTATCCTCCTCTAGGGCACAATGCTCTGTTTAATTTCATTTGCTCATCATAAGGTACTTTGTTCAATAATGAATAGTAATATTTTCATTTCATTTCCCCAGCTGTCATTGGTGGTGCTTTCACGATCTAGCAATATTGTAGATATGATACTGTCTTTTGAAATTCAATTTTGTATTTTAGTATGTCATTTTCAGTTTATCACATGTTTACCTTTCAATGATATTCTAATGACAGTCTGCTTGTGTAATTACAGTGATGGAGGTAGGTCAAACAGTTCAAGCATCTTCATCAGTGGCTTTGTTTTGGGAGGACTTATAGTTGGCACACTGGGTGCTGTATATGCACCTCAGGTTTCCACTCATCGATTATGATTGTTTTATCTTGTATTGTGCTACTTTATATCTATGTTATTCATCAATCAATTATTACCAATTGTTGAAATGTGTATATTTTAAGACTAACGAGTTACCTACTTTGAAATTTATGCAAGTCTATACTCTGTACCTCACAAATTTGCCGTGGTTGGGTTCTTTGATTTGTAAATGTTGCAGTTTGTGGGCTACAGAGTTTACTTGATGGCCTCTTGCATTAAGCCCAAAAATAAAAAGCATTTTTCTGACTGAGAATTTTTTTTCATCAACAGATCAGTAAAGCACTGGCTGGAGCTGACCGGAAGGATCTAATGAGAAAACTGCCCAAGTTCATATATGATGAGGACAAAGCTTTGGAGGTGAGAAAGCTCCCTTGCTGGTTTTCTGTCTTTTAGTTTTTTTTTTCTTTTCATATGTTCAGCATTGTTGGAGATGCTGAAGTGCTATTTTGTTGTTATTGCTATGTTGTCCACTTCGTTTCAGTTTCTATCAAATATTTTTTCACTAATCATTGTTTGCCAAAATGCTTGGTTAATGTTTGCTATAGAGAGAGACCGTTGTGATTCTAATCCCATAATATTCTATTTTCTTTATTTTATGTTTACTGGAAAAATCAATTATGCCTTATTTGCACCACAGAAAACACGAAAGGTACTGGCTGAGAAGATAGCGCAGCTGAACTCTGCTATAGATGATGTTTCTGGCCCAGATGAAGTTGAAGCTGTCATATGAGAAGCTCCCATCAGAATCTGTCATGTATTTCAGTGTTTCAGTATTTGCCCAATAATCAGTGTAGTTTTGTTCTTCTATGTGGGAGCTCCTAGTTTTGGTCAATGTAATTGTACCCTCTGGTCCCAAAATTGCTAATATTTGGATGATGACGAATGTAGGAAATTTTTTTTTTTTTAAAGCTGTTTTTTGCTGTCTGCATTTGCTAGTACGGCCTATAATAAATAATATATTTTATATATATATTTAAAAAGGAATTACAAAACAGCGGGACCTGAGTGATGCTGAATTCAGTATCCGTTATTTGTGGTTGAGATCTTCAAGCCTTGAGAGTTGCTGTTTTGCTCTCTTAACCAAAGTAGATTGGAAGGGCATTCTAGGAAAACAAGTTGGGGAATAACCTGCGGTTCATATTTTGAAAGCCTTGCAAATAGACATGATCTTATCTCCTATATCTTCATGTACCATGCTATAACCACAAGTTCCTTTAATTCAATTTCAACCATATTTTAAAACAAGGGAATGTTCAGATTACTAAAGGCACGAATGTAACTGTGTATATATATATATATATATATATATAGTGGCAAAGTCAGTCCCTTAGCTTTAGTTGCAGCCATGGCCTCACACGCAGCTCTAGCCTCTACAAGAATCCCAGCCAACACCAGGCTGCCCTCCAAGTCCTCGCACTCTTTTCCCGCTCAATGCTTCTCCAAGGTCTCTCTCTCTCTCTCTCTCTCTCTCTCTCTCTCTCTCTCTCTCTCTCTCTCTCTCTCTTTTCTCTTTTTTCTTTCTCTCTTCCTCTCT